ACAACACCAACACAACCCCAGCACTTCCACACTGTTACAATGCGCCAAGAGCAACAACAGCCTGTTTACCAGATACATTACCATCACTTCACTGAAACTGAGAGAGAGAAAAAGTTCACTCACTCCAGCAAATTCCACTTTTCAGGCGAAATATCAGCAGGAGACACAGACAGACGCGCCGCTCAGCTGAAACCAGTGCAACTATCTCCCCTGCTGCTCCTCATGTTCAGACCTGAAGCTACCTGATTGGTTCCCGACAAAAGTGATTGACAGTTTAACCGGTGTATGCCCCGCCCACTCCTGGCATCTAGCCACAGCGTTTAGTGTACTAAACAGCAAATTAATGGCATTAAATATATGTGACTTTTCCCAGCAAGTTTTAAAAACAGTTATGTAAATAGGTGTGAAATTACATACTGAAGTAAAAGTCAAGAAAGATTAAAAATAAATAAATAGATAAATAAATAAATAAATAAAAATAAAAAAATAAAATAAAATAAAATGTATGGGCAATAATAAAATGGAGACCTATTATCTATAATGTAGACCTAAGTCTAAAACATGAACACATTTTTTTTTCAAGTCACGTCAAGTCACACTTTATTTATAGAGCACATTTAACACAACAGAAGTTGACCCAAAGTGCTTTAAGAAATATAGTATCCAAGGACAATGGCAACTAAGACAGCAATAACAACAATACATTTAAATCAATCAAAAGCTAAAGAATAAAAATAACTTTAAAAACACACAGTGTTGGAGAAGACCTGATGTTAAAAGTTAGACTGAGCTTAGGGACAGCAACAGAAAAAGCCTGGTCTCCCTTAGATTTACAACGTGAACGAGGAATTTTTCATACATAATACAAAATCATGCATAACATTATTTACAACAAAGTCACAATTTCCATTTTCCGAATGAGACAAACCCCAATACAATTTCTTTAATTAGACATATACGACAAGAGTGATCTGTTTAAAACTCACAATCTTCTCTTACTCTCTCTTCTGTCTTAGTTTATATTCTCAAATCTAACTGTAATAATATATTTTATTATGAAGTCACTCTGAGAGGTAGGCAAATAAAATTTGACTAAGCCCTTTAAAAAAAAAAAAACAAAAAAAAAAAACCTTGCATTAATAGTATCTACAGTGCTCTCTAGTGGACATCAAGCAAATAAACAGAAATATAATAAATATTTAATAAATTGTTTATATAATAAATATATAATAAATGGTTTCAGCAGGCTCTTATTTATTGACTTCAGGAAGTTTGGGGATACAGATATGTCTCTCGTGGTCACAGATCCCGCCCCCCCAAGAAAAATAAATAAAAATAAATAAATAAATAAATAAATAAATAAATCAGGGAGTATCATGAAACAGAATTCCCATATTAGTATCTGACGTTACCGTCGTTTTCCTGCTGAAGCTGTCTCAGACCTGCCAACCTGCTGATATGCCGTACAAGTGCAGAGAAATAGTAGATGGTTGTGTGCATAGAAAGGATGCTGGATGCTTTGTCATCAATCCTGAGCTGACTTTTCACATTTTCTCTCTGTGTCTGTGTGGGTTTTGTTTAGGTTCTCCAGTTTCCTCCCACTGTACAAAAATATGTCAGTGGGTGGACTGAATTGCCCCTTGGTGTCAGTTTGTGTGTGCATAGTGCTCTGCCATAGACTGCTGTCCCATTCGGGGTGTATTCCAACCCATAGCCAGCGCTCCTGGGAGGCTGCGGATCACCATAAACCAGGAGAAAGTGTTTACTGAAGATGTATGAATGAATAAATTAATGTCACTACATTGGAAAAAGTTTTTTTAGTCAAAGGTTGCTTCTGATTTAGAGTTAGTGCCTTCAGTGTTACAAGAGAAGTCAAAATGTATAGACAGATCATTTTCATAGACAGATAATAATTTTCATTATTCACTATTCCAATCATTATTACAAATAATTTCCATTGCTTAAATGCACATGGAATGTTTTTTGGTTTTCCCTTTGGTCTGGATGAACTTATATTATAATTAGGTAATTTTATGAAATATATTTTTTTATGTTATGTTTTTTATGAAATATATTTTTTTTACTCCAGTAACAATCACAGTATAAACACAATATAAATGGACCACGGCACTGGATCTTTTTCATGATTACACTCACCGTCCACTTTATAAGGAACATCTGTACAGTTGCACATTTATGCAGTTATCTAATCAGCCAATCATGTGGCAGCAGCACAATACATAGAATCATGCAGATACAGGACAAGAGCTTCAGTTAATGTTCCCATCAAACATCAGAATGGGAAAAACAATCTCTGTGATTTCTGTTTTTGTTCTTGGCAGAGATCACATTTTTTCCCCATTCTTGAGCTTTTGGCCTGTAGCTGCTTGATTTTAAGCATTGTGCTGCTGCCACATGATTGGCTGATTAGATAACTGCATAAATGAGCAGGTATTCAGGTGTTCCTATTAAAGTGGACAGTGAGTATATATTGAAATCCACAATTTAAGTGAAAAAAATTATTCACTAGTTTATTTTCTTTTATGACCTGATCCAAAATTATTGTTCACTATCAGTACACTATCAAGTGTACTGTGTATATTTAATCAGTTATTATATTTTATTACAGGTGTGTCACATAATATTGTCATAAGATTCCATCAGCGAGTGTTCTTAACAGTAAGAAAAAAAGAGTTCTTCCTGTTTCTGAAATAATTCTTACTATTACAACACATTACACATAGATATGTCCAACATAACCCAATCCACAGCCTGAGGCAGGGTGACGGTAAAGTCTTACTGTGATCCTTCTCATCCTCATCACTGAGTCACCTGGAACTTCCGAGAAAAAAAAAGGTTTGGTCGGAGAGTTACAGGCCTTGAGCTGCCACAACATGCCCACTAGATGTCATTCACAATCTTTCAAAAGACATTCATTAATAATAAACATTAATCATCCATTAATCATTGTCTCTGTGTAGCAATACAGGGTGTTTAGAATATAATCATTTAAAGTAGGTGTGATCTGAGACATGGTTTCTTTTTCTATAATATTCTGTGAAACCTGTATGTTTTTAAGACTTGTATTCCCAACTTACATTCCACACTGCATGCCTTTCCTACTAGTTTCACTGAACAATTCAGAGCAGTTACTGAATAATATCCTTTACAGTTCTTATAGCATATTCTTTATAGAACAAAATGCACTGTGAGTTTATGCTAAATAAGATATACAGTATCGTTCTATGCAACACTGATACCATCCATCTATCCATCCATTTTCTGTACTGCTTAACCTACACAGGGTCGCGGGGAGCCTGGAGCCTATCCCAGGGAACTCGGGAGACACCCTGGATGGGGTGCCAACCCATTGCAGGCCACAATTGCACACACAATCACACAGACAATTTGAAAATGCCAATCACCCTACAACACATGTCTTTGGACTGAGGGAGGAAACCAGAGTACCCGGAGGAAACCCCAGAGGAACATGGGGAGAACATGCAAACTCTGCGCACACAGTGCGGAGGTACCCCGAACTGATACCAATAATATTTACACAGTGAAGATAACACCATTCGTATTTGTACAGTGAAGATGTTCTGTCATTCATTTTACTGTTACTAAGACATTTAGGTCTAAATATAATTGGCAACAAAAGGTGGGTTAAAATTCAACACCTTTTTTGAGACTTACAGTGGATATTAAATTCTACACACCTCTGTTAAAATTGCAGTATTTTGTAATGTAAAAAAAAAAAAACCTAAGATCATTCATGTCAGATCTTTCCCCACCTTTAATGTGACACCACAACCAATAAAATTCAAGTAAAAAAAAAAAAAAAAGAAACATTTTAGGGGAAAAGAAAAAGAAAAAACTTAAGTGTGCATGCCCCTTAACTAATACTTTGTTAAAGTACCTTTGTTTGTAATACAGCACTCAGTCTTTTTGGGTGAGAATCTACTAACTTGATTTGGCAATTTTATTCCACCCTTCCTTACAAAAATACTCCAGATCTAACAAATTGCGAGGGGATCTCCTGTGCACAGCCCTCTTCAAGTCATTCCACAGGTTTTCAATAGGATTTAGATCTGGACTCTGACTGGCCATTCCAAAACATTGATATTCTTCTTCTGAAGCTGTTCCTTTGATGGCTTGGACTTATGCTTTGAGTCATTATCAGGATGGAAGGTGAAATACAGTATTGCTTCATCTTCAACTGTCTAACAGTTGAGAATCTATGCATGATTCCCTCTATCTTGACTAGATTCCCAGTCCCAGCTGAAGAGAAGCAGCCCCATAGCATGATGCTGCCACCACCATGCTTTACCATTGGTATGGTGTTCTTTGAGAGATAAGCTGTCTAGTTTCTGTTTCAAACATACTGTATCTTTTAGAATTATATCCCAAAAGTTCTATTTGGGTCTTATCTGACCACAACACATTTTGACACATGGTTTGTGGTGATTTAGGCAGGCTTGGATGTTTTTTTTTTTCTTTTTCATGACAAAGTTCTTCTGTCTAGGTACACTACCCCAAAGCCCAGATAAGTGAAGAAAATGAGAGCTTGCTGTCACATGCAGGGCGTGATCAGAAGTTGCCAAATACTCCTGCAGCTCCTTTAATGCCGCTGTAGGTCTCTCGGCAGCCTCCCTGCTGAGTATTCTTGTTCTTTTGTCTATTTTTGAGGGACGTCCTGTTCTTGGTAATGTGGTCCCCCATTTTCTCTGCTTGTTGCTGATGGCTTTCACACTGTTCTATGGTATATCTATTGTTCTGGAAATGCTTTTGTACCCCTCTCCTGATCGATATATTTCAACAATGAGATCCTGTTCATGCTTTAAGCTCTTTGTGGACCATGGCTTCAGCAGTTGGATAAAACCAAGAAGACTTTACATTTATAGCATTTGGCAGATGCCCTTATCCAGAGTGACCTATATTTATCTCATTTTACACAACTGAGCAGTTAAGGGCCTTGCTCAAGGGCCAAGCAGTGGTAGGTTAGTAGTGCTGGGATTTGAACTCATGATCTCATGATCAGTAGACCAACAGTTTAACCACTAAGCTACCACTGAAGATGTCAAGAGAAACCTTCAGAAACAGCAGATCTTTATTTGGGGTTAATCAGAATTACTTCTTTGATAACAGGTGTATGATAATTACATTTGAACATGAGATGTGTGACTGAGAATGTGATTGGTTAATTCTGAGCACAGTCACATGACCCACTATAAAAGAGTGTGCACACTTGTTCATCCAGGTTATTGTCTTTTTTTTCCTAAAATGTTTCTATTTGTTTTTTACTTGAATTTTATTGGTTGCTATAATCACATTAAAGGTGGATAAAGACATGACATGATTTATCTTGGTTTCATTTTCTTTTCATTACAAAAAAAGGTGCAATTTTAACAGGGGTGTGTAGACTTTCTATATCCATTGTATATTTAACATCATAACACAATGGCCATTATGGAGATTTTCTTGACTCGATTTTTCAGATTCAACCACAGCTGTTGAGAAAGTCCATTTCTGTGATACACCTTCTAGTTACTCAAAAGATAAAGCACTTCCTGTTTCAGTCTTTTAAAGGTGCTTTGCTTGCACGTCTGTTTCCTGTGTGAAATTGGCTGCCACAACACTGCTGACCTTACTTATAACAACAGGAAGGTGCATGAACTTTCTGTTTCTTTTTTTTGTTCCTTGCTACACCTGATGCCTCATTTGGCAGCATCTGAAATGAGCAAGTGGTCTCAAAAATGATGTTAGTTCTTCTGCTTTTCCTAGAAAAGGGTAAGTCATGCCATATACAGATCATTCAACATTACATTGCATGTTATAGTACTGTAATGGCTATTTGTATTTAGTTGCAGGTGATCATACGCTCACTGGACCTAACGAAGTGAAGCAATGTGCAGGCAGATCCATTCACATTGTCTGTCGCTATCATCCATTTTACCGGGACAATGTCAAATACTGGTGCAAAGGCTACTATTTTAATTACTGCACGGTTCTCTTACGGACGGGTCAGTCTCAGCCTTTCTATGCATCTCTGCAGATAAGTGATGATAAACGAGGTGGGTTTTTCACCATCCACATGAAGAATGTTAAAACAGCGGATAGTGGATGGTACTGGTGTGCGATTGAAAGAGTCAGTCGTCACGTAAGCAAAGCCATGCAGTTAATCATATCTGCAGGTAAGCTGACTTTCCTCTGATTAAGTATAATGTAGTGGAGACAGAATTGATGAGTCCATCATCCAGATCTGTTTTTATCTCATCAGTTATCAGGAAGTAATGCAATTTTGACAAATTCTTTCGTGGAAAATGATTTTAAAAGATTGTTTGAGAAATATGTTTCAAATGTTTGTTTTTGTTTCCTGAAAGCAATGACTTGAGTGTACTAACAGTCAATTTCAGGTATTAACAGTTAACCTTAAAGTCTTAAGCCATCATCATCATTATTATTATTATTATTATTATTATTATTATCATTATTATTATTATTATTATTGTTATCATCTAAGGCATGTCATCTTAATAAAATATAACGTGTCACCATATTAAAAAAACAGCAATGTTTTTTTTTTTTTTTTTTTTTTTTATACAATGATTTCAGGTCAAATGAGTTTTGTTTCCATTTTAAATAATATTCTTTAATTACAAAAATATTAGCTGAGTAATTTATTAAACTTTAATAAAATATTAAATAAAAATGTTTATTGGTCATCAGAAAAGTAAATGTACACCAGGACTTTTACTACATTATCACTATAAGATTACACAGTGTAAAGGTTCTAACTATAAATATAAAAAGTCAAATTTTAGTGACTACTTCATGAAAATGTCTTCACACCATAATGACAGAGTTGTCACATCATCTAGAAGGGTTATGTTAATTTGATGTATTAAATATTCATATTCTAGCAGAAGTCAGCATGGTGGATGTCAGAAAACAACCTTGTATCAGCCAATAGCTGTCTGTTGACTCAGATGTTAAGTCAACTTGATATCAGAATTAATAAACTCAGTCTATACGGCTGCCATGTTGGAATAAGCCTTTATAAATGTTTATGTAGATTTTATAGATCAGTTGCAATGAAATACTTTTCCGGTGTCATGTAACCCTGTAAACATTATCATTAAGTGTAACCACAAGATCTTAATTATGTTGGCTTGATAGATCCAACATTCTGTTCTTCATAATCTGCTTCTTCTATTTGCAAATTTGTAACGTTTTCATGGGTCGCAATTTTTTTTTGCGTAGAACCACAAAATTCAGCAGAGACGTAGATCCCATTTGGGAACGGTGTGCTTGTACTTTTGGGGGAAGATTGGAATTACGGTTGCCACGTAGCAGTGCTCCAAAGTTGTTTTTTTCCCATAAGGTTAATTTTCACTGGTTCTACCATCTCATGATTTGAGGCCGTGTTAATCCACACATACTGGAAGCAGTTAAAACTGCATTGCTCTGCCTACAAACACCTTAGCCTCTCCCTGGAACATGCTAGCAACCATCTGAGATTGCATAGCAACTGCTTAGCTACGACCTAGAAACCACCTGGGATTGCAGAACAACCACATAGGAAACCCATATTCTACTAACCACTTGAAATGATATAGCATTCACCTAACAACATCATAGCAACTGCCTAGCAGCCACCTAGCAACAACTAGAAATACTATAGCCACCACCTAGCACCCCCTTATTAACCACATAAAATATCAACCACATACCAACTTCTTCATGATTATACCTTGTAACATTTTAACATTTAAACATAACGTTATATTAACATTTTTTAACATTAAAAAAATTAACATTATTTTTGCAGAATCTGTCAAGCCAACAATAAAGTTTGTTCTAGGGGCCAGTTTAACCTCCAGTGAAATAACTTTGTCTTGTGGTGTTTGGCGTGATAGCTTGAAGTTTCCATTCTTAAATGGAACAATCTTTTTTTTTTTTTTCCACAGAAGAAGCGCAGCATTGCTCTGTGCCTGAGCCACCACAAAACGTCAGAGAGGCAACTACTCAACCATTGACAACGACCGCCTTAACAACTTTCAGGACGACCACAGTAACATCACACACGACACTGAAAGCCACAGATTTGACAGAAATAAAGCATGAAACCCAAGCTTTGCCCAAGTATGTCAAACATGATGCTGTAATTTTGGAAATGCCATTCAAAGCCTGAGTAAATTTTAACTCTTATCATTCTCATGTTCTGTTTTTCAGACAGATTAATGTCACTGAGTCGTTCGCTCCCAAAATATGGAGCATCACACGGTGGATCCTCTTCGGAGGAATGTGTCTCTACCTCACCTGTTTTATAACGTGCTTTGAAATTTGGTTAAGAAGACAGTAAATGAGAGACACTAAGCTTTTACACTGTACATTTCTTTTATTTCATGACAGACATTTGGATGCTTCCGTGGGTTAAAAAGCTCAATGGTAAAAACTAGGCCAAACAAGTACTACCAAAGCCAGCTATCAAGAACTGTTTAGAATTGACCTGATATTAATAACTGATTTTATAATTGTTATAAGACTCCTATAAATTCTTATATTGTTCTTCATTAATTTATGTATAAAGATTGTGTTTTTATTGAAAGAACATACATAACACATATAGGATTGTTTTTGGACTTTGTAAACAGCTAAAAATATTCAATTTCATATAATCTATTCTTAGATTTTAAGCACAAACTGAAAAAAAAAGTTTGTATCCATTATTGATCAGTGATAAAACAGTTCTTGGTAGTGGATTTTTGTTTTCAGACCTCTACTGTAAGAGTGTGATGAGCCACGCCAAATATTTATACAAAATAGTGACTGAATTTTAGGAAGAATTCTTGGACACTCATGTAATAAGTGCCCAAAAAATTATTTTTCCCCTTTTCAAGTAAATGATTTCAAGTAGAAGAAACATTTTCAGATACAACAAAGTTGCATTTCCACACCCATTACCTATGATTTGAGAGAAACACATACGCTTCAGGCTTACACAGTACATTACATTAATTGTCAAAATTAGTAGTGCATACAATACACATTCACATTAACATGCAATATAACAATCATTTAATGTACTGAAATGTTTTGAATACTGAATAGATTTTAATAGAAGTGAATCACTATGACAACATTTACTTGCTTAAATGTTCAAACTGTTTGGCTGTTAAATAAATGTATTTTTATCAGTCATAACTGTTTGTGTAGTTTCATAGAAAGATGCAACATACATTGCCTTGTGAAGAAAATATTATTTTCGTGAAGTGATATTGAAGGAATATTCATATTTCTTTTAGAATTTCTGTAAATATATTTTTTTAAATGGTGCAAAAAAAAAAGCCTCACCTTATCATCCACTGACTGCATGTCACACTGAATAAACAATAATGTTCATCAGCAAGGCTGAATGTAATTAGTTTTTGGCCAGTGCTTAATTACCATACCGCGTGTGTCTAATTAGTCTATAGTAGTTAGTGTAGTGACAGGTTTAACAAACATAGCAGAGGACCAAATGTTAAACAGTTATGACCCCTGGGTGTACATCACAAAATTATATAGCTAACTTTACACTTTATTTCATTACACGCAAGGCCACAATTTGTAATACACAGATTCCCTCTGGCTCACAATACCACTCATTATCAGGAATCTACATGCTCTGGCATAGGGCTGACATTTCAGTAAAAACACTCCATAGACATGAAGTCTGGCATAGAAGTCCCATTCAGCATTTCCTTAAAGACCCTGATTGATAGCTTCGTTCATAATTAAGCAGCCCCTCAGAAAACAAGGAGACACACAGTGTCATTAATGCAAAGCACCACTATTACACAGCAAGAATCTTTTTACTATGTGCAGTCTTCTCCACAATAAACCCAGGAAAGGAGACTTCAAACTGTGTTCGCACTGTGTCACATAGGCACATGGTAATAAACATCATGCCCTCTAGAGGTCTCTAGAAACCTCAATGTCCTGGTTAGCTTCTTAATCGCTTCCCAGTCTTTTAAATCTCATTGCAAGCTCTAAGCTGCAGGGTTTCGAGGTAAGTGGCCAATAAAACAAG